CACTGGGCCACATCCCCAGTTCTTTTTATTTTTTATTTAGAGACAGGGCCTCGTTGAGTTGCTTAAGGCCTTGCTAAGTTGCTGAGGTTGGTTTTGAACCTGTGATCCTCCTGCCTCAGCCATCCAAGCCACTGGAATTATAGGCATGTGCCACTGCGCCTGGTTCCCTTTGACTCTTGAGACCTAAGGGTGGACGTTCCTTGCTAGTCCAATGCATTCTACATTGTCTCTTATTAAATTCTCCACAAATTACCTATTTGAACCATCTATTTCCAGTCCCAAACTYCTAATGCCCAATGCAATGGCTCAGTCTTAATTGTTTGAACACCAAATTTCTCCTAACTTGTGCAATTTGCATGTAATAATAAACCCAAATCGAAATAGAACATCTTGTATTTCCTATTTTAGTGAATAACACCAAAACGCTCCCACACCATTTTCTAAAACCAAAACCTTAGCATTGTTCTTGGCATCTGTCTCTCTTCTCTCCTCAAATACTTTAGATTGTACCTCCAGAATCTCTTTCCAGTTGATCTTACACTCCATCTCCTCACCTCAACTCTTGCTTAGACCATTATTTCTTGCTCATGTTATTGCAACTCTCTCCAAATTTGTTTTGATTCTTCCATTAACTTGCATCACATAATAGCCAAAGTGATATTTTTACAAGTAAATATAATTATGTCACTTTCCTGCTGAAAACCTTTAATTATCTCCGTTATCCTTAACATAACTTGAGTCTAACACTTGAACCAAACTCATAAGGAGCATTTGTCCATTGGACCACATCTTCTAGTTCTCTCCTCTTCCTATACTATGCTCAGTCAGAATGGACTACTCTCCGTTCTCTAAATACTTCATGTTCTTTCATCCCCARTCTTTTATAAATGTAGACTCCTCTTCTTAGGAACTCATTCCCCACCCTCATCATTCAACAWTTCCACCTTAATTCTAGCTAACTCCAGTTGACTCTCTAGATTTCACCTGGAGGACATTTTCTTTGACATCTGTTCCTCCCAAGTCTGAGGTGGGGTCCTTCTAAAGGTTCCAAGAGAGTCCTATACTTTTCCCATTTTTCCCCCACAATTTTATCGTTGTCTGTCTACTTATCTTTTCCACTGACATTATCTCCATGAGGTCAGAAACCCAGTTGTATCCCAGGGCCTGCCAGTGTGCACATAGAAGGGCATCACTCTACACTTGATAAATGAACAAACTGATGTGGTACCAACCTCTGCTTCTCAAATCAGGGTTCCACTGGCAGGGTGGTGGTAAATAATAATCATGAGGTATATTCTTGGGGCATGAACTTTATCTAGGTATTTTGGGATAAAATCTATTACTTCTACATTGAAACAAAAATGATTATATAATTTATTTATTTTTTGTTGTTAGTTTGTGTGTAAGSGTCTTACTGTGTTGCCCAGGCTGGCTTCAAATTTGGACCCAAGTGATCTTGCTTCCACTTTTGAAGTGGAAAATTCTTATACATTTATATGATAAAGCATAAGATACCAAAAAATGGCTCACTTGCTTTGAGCTTTTCACACTTAGCCTTGGAAATTATAAGGTCACATTTTCCCTCTTTCACTGTCAGGGATATTCAACAGGAAAAAAATCAGAAATATGATACATGTTTCATATTTTACCTCACAAAGTTCCTTGATTTTGAAATAGCATATATTTTATGCAAATAATTACATGAACATGGCTTCACGTATAGCATTGTGAACAAAAGACAACTTTTATTTTTAACAATTGAAAATATAATGCATCAGTAAAAATAGATACATTCACAACCAACATAAACATCTGCATGTGTTTGTACCGTAGGTATTATTGAAAAGGAAAGAAATCTGTAGAAGAATACAAGCCAAGGTTAACACTGGCTCCCTCATGGGACCAGGCAGTTTAATAAAGGATGGGGGTAAATAATTAGCATTCTTATATAATGTTTTTTTGCTTGTTGTTGTAGCATGTATTTTGATAAATTACTGTAAATTTATCAGTATTGTATTACTGATARATTCAGAGAAAAATCAAACAATGAGTATTTTAATAAGTTAAAAATTCAGACAATGTAGATTTCATACACATTTATCTGCAATCCTGAAAACAAGACTTTTTATTCCAATTTTACTTGCTAATATTTCTTTTTTTGTTGTTACTTACTAATATTYCATATTTTTTTAAACAGGAAATCTTTAGAATGTGAAAGATTAGTATTAAACTTTCTTTTTAATTAATTACAAAGGTTTAAAGTGTGCTTTTTCATAGTTAAAAGAAGCTTAATAAACGATTCTTATGATTCTTAATTACAATTGAGCAGACTCTTAATTGTTCATCATTTAAGCCTTTTGGTGTGAATTAGAATTCCAAAAACAGCGATCCACTTTTGGGGAAAGAGAGTTTAAAGAAGCAACTGGGGTTTACCTAGTTTAAAAGGTTGAAAGTGAGCAATTAAAGGTGGCAATATCCCAGTTGGATTTCACAACTACTTAATAATCTGAGCTTTTATGTTGGTGTAGCAGGCACGTGTGACAGCTGGCAAAGCAGCACTGTTTGTCACTGACTTTACAAAGCAAAATTAGAGCTATCTTTTGTGTCAGCCAACATGCATTTTTAAGCAGATGTCACAATATTAGGAATAAAACAACAATAGGGATCCGGGCCCTGGAGGTAAAGTCAGGGTGGGAAGCAGTCCATGTGCCTTTCTAAATGAAGCTCATCCACGCTCACAGGATTAAAAGAACATGGGTTATTCTCATCAGCATGGGTATTTCCTTATCTCTATGATCACTGACCAGGATTCAAAACTCTTGGGAGAAAAAAATTTCTGGCCAAAATACATTTATTTTCCTGCAACAATAATAGCATGTATACATTCTACAATGGTCCTAATTTCAGATAATTTATTTCATTGTTCTTACAAATAAATAAAACCTTCAACCTCTGGTTTTGTGAACCAACTGTGGCCTTCCTGAGATTCTAGGCAAAAAATAAAATTAAAATTTAATGGAAGTGGCTACTTAATAATAAGGAAGATGAGAAGTTAAACTTCCTATATCACAGAATTCTATTTTATTTTTCAGCAAATCTGGTATTTTCTTTTTGATGGTCTGTCTCCCACCTCTAGAACATAAGCTCTATGAGAGCAGAGACCTGATCTGTCTCATTCAGCATCCCTCTAACAATCCTTGATAAGTTCTTCACAGATGGTGGCCAGACAGACCTCATGTGACAGGTACAAAGACAGGTAGGTAGGAGCAGGCTGCTTTGTAAGTGCAGAGGGGCCTGGACTGATATTTACATGGGGACAAGAATCCCTACAGGATGTTCATTCAATAAACATTTATTGAGAGTCCCAGGCAGAGTACAGTAATGGACACACTGACATAGTCCTATCCTCAGTAAGCTTATGGTCTAATGAGATGACAGACATTTAAAAGAATCATTTAACTCACTATTTAATTACAAACTGTGCAAAGGGTGATGGAGGAAAAAGACAGGGTAATACAAGTAATTATAAAAAGGCTACCAYTTAATGGCTGCACAACTCTGTGATTATATGAAAATCCACCGACTCAAACACTTTAAAAGGGTGAATTTTATGTAAATTATCTCTCAATAAAGCTATTATTAAGAAAAGAGTWTCAGAGTGGATAAGAGTCCAGCTTTAGATCCCTAAATTTCTAGGTTCCTAATTCTGGCACAGACCCTTATTAGCTGTACTCATTTGGACAACTTATTTATCTTGGACTTTTCACAATAAAATGAATAACACCTACTTYTAGGATTGTTTTAAAGGTTAAACGAGTTGGTATTTTCAAAGCAATGACAACAGTATCTGGTATCCAAAAGAGGTGAGCTATTATTAATCTAGGGGTCAGGGAGTGCTATGGACTGAATATTTATGTCCATTTCAAATCTTGTATTTTGAAATCTTAAACTCTGAGGTGATGGTATTAGGAGGTAAGGCCTTTGGAAAGTGATTAGGGTGTAAGGGTGGAGCCTTCCTGAATGGGATTAGTGCCCTTATGAAAACATACAAAAGCACTTTGTGTGTCTCTGTCTTACTCTTTTTTCTCTTTATCACCTGAAGATATAAAAAGGATGTCTGCAAATCACGAAAAGCCTGGACCAGACATCAGATCTGCCAGCACTCTGATCTTGGACTCCTGTCCACCAGAACTGTGAGAAGTAGATTTTTGTTGTCTTAACCTGTGGTACTCTGCTAGAGAAATCTGAACTAAGACAAGGAGGGATCAGGAATCAAATACAGGAAACATCCAAGGGAAGCAAACTCAGAAAACTCTTTTTTAAAAATTTTTTATTTATTTATTTATTAGTTATACATGGACACAATGTCTTTATTTTGTTTATTTATTTTTATGTGTTATGTCTTTATTTTGTTTATTTATTTTTATGTGTTTGAGGATCCAACCCAGTGCCTCAAACATTCGAGGCAAGCGCTTTGCCACTGAGCCCCAGCCCCAGCCCACAGAAAACTCTTAAGCTCTTCTTTGTCACTTGAAAACTTTCCTTCTTAGACTTTGTTCAAAACTTTAAAGGTGTGATATTTTAATTTATTTATTTTGCTTTCAAAAGAAAGCTCTTTTGTTGTAGAAACTGTCATGGACACAGTTGAAAGAACAATAACATGACTTTTCAGGAAAAGATCTATATATTCATTATGTTTTCTAATTTGGAATATGAAGCAAATATCCTACCTTTACTTTTTAAAAAAATTTAACTGTTTTATTGAGATATAATTGATATAATGCATATGCCACAAAATTCACCATTTTAAAATGTATGATTCAATGGTATTTAGTATATTCATAGAGTTGTGTGACCATCACCACTGTATAATTCTAGAACATTTTGCCTTTCCCCCCAGAAACTTCATATCCATTAGAAGTCACTCCTGGTCTCCCCTCCTCCAAGCCCCTGGTAACCACTAATCTACTTTATGTTTCTATGGATTTCTCTATTCCTACCTTTACTTTTGGAAAGACATGTGGAAATGACTTGAGCTGTTTTGAGGTTGGCCAAACTTTACCCTCAGATCCCAGAGGGAAAACAAATGATTTCTGGTCAATTAAAGTTGGAAGCAACCTAAGCAAAAAGAAACAAGAATTTAAAATAAAATTTGCTATCTTAAAAGCTTCCCAAATTGTTATTTTAAAACAATAATTCCTAGTAAAAATTACATTTAAAAGGAAATTATTCTATTAGTGATTGTAATAAATTAAACCAATCTTTAGCATTTTTGCCACTGTAAAACTGAAGTTGTTTTATTAAGCATGAGGATTTCCCAGTCTTATAAAGACCATGATAGCTTGAATAAAAAGCTCTCTGACTGAATTTATATAATTAACAATTGACAAGAATTATCACAAAACATTTCTTGAAATACATAATGCTGTATATTTTTTAATAAAACCAAATTACATGATAGCCAATGTTAAATATATTCAAAATGGTGGCCCCTAAACAGCTAATATGAACATTTTTTATATCTCTGCTATTTCATACAATTGCAAAGATTCAAAGATCAACAATGGTTAAAAATTTTCCTTAGTAAGCAGTGAACAGTTCCATCGGAGAACACCGTAGAAACAGAGTAAAATTGTAAGAATGAGCATATGCATGTCATTTAGTATCTTAAAATTTTTAATTTAAACAGTTTTGATATTTTTTAGATTTTACTTTTGATGAAATTAAAARTAAAAATATCTGTTGCCTCACATAGTTAAACTATGGAATCAACCTAGATGCCCCTCAACACATGAATGGATAAAGAAAATGTACATATATACAAAGCAATATTACTCAGCCTTAAAGAAAAATGAAATTATGGCATTTGCAGGTAAATGGATGGAGCTGGAGAATATCATGCTAGGCCAAATAAGCCAAAACCCAAAACCAAAGACTAAATGTATTCTCTAATAAGCAGATGCTTGTCCATAATGGAGTGGGGGGTAGGGAATAATGTAGGAACTATGGATTGGGCAGAGGAGGGTGAGGGGAGGGGAGGGGGTGTATGTATGATTACACTGCCAGTGTGACTCTGCACTAGGTACAGCCAGAGGAAGGAGAAGTTGTGCTTCATGTATGTACAATGTGTCAAAATGCATTCTGCTGTCATGTATAACTAATCAGAACAAATAAAACACAGTTTTCATTTCTTTATTCAACTATGAAAAACCAAAAGCAAAGAGAAAATCTTGCAAGAAACCATAGAGAAAGCAAGCACAAAGATAAGAATCAAGTTGGGGATGCTGGGGCTATAGCTTAGTGGCAGAGCGTTTGCCTACCACATGTGAGGCACTGGGTTCAATCCTTAGCGCTGCATAGAAATAAATAAAGTAAAGGCATACTATCCATCTACAATTAAAACAAAAAAAATTTTTTAAAAAGAATCAAATGGGGTTTCTCTTTACGAACCATGCAAGCAACAAAAGAATGGATCAAAACTTTAAAAATATGGAAAGAAAAAACTTGCCCACCCCAAATTCTATATCCAATAAAAGTATCCTCCAAAAGTGAAARAAAAATAAAGACATACACAAACAAAAGCTCAAGTAATTTGTTATCAGAGATTCGTCTTGCAAGAAATGTTAAAAGAAATTATTGGAGAAAAAGAAAATGGTGTAGGTTAGACATAGGCTATGTCAGGCAAAAAGACGACTCAGGGAACTTGGGGTCCTGTTTCTTGCATCCCAAGTTCCCTAGCTGGTCTGCCTCCTTCTCAGCACCTTTCAAGGTCTTCTTAAGTTTGTTTTATATATAACATCCAGGCATTTAAATTGGACTTAGCAGGAAATATAGGAGGAAGAATATCTACACCACATTTCCAGAACTGAAAGTCTCTTGGTGCATTTCTTAAATCTTTTTACTCACATGGATCACATATTTAAAAGAGAACTTAGATATTGAGAATTGATTGAAATGAAATTTCATATCCTGCTTCCCCCACCTAACTCAATAGGTACTGTGGTAAATATTCCATGTCATTAACATTTCTTCCATAATACCAGTTTTAATGGCTACGTAATACATGTGCAGATGTGTTGTAAGGGATTTAATCACTATTTTACTAGAGATGTTGAAGTTTTTCCAAATTTATTACGATTATATTTATCACTAACATGAACATACACAGAGATTCATATGTATCTTTCCTAGGATAATTCCTAGAGTTATGCTTACTAAATAAAAAATAACTTAAAATCTTTTGACTTAGGTTGAAAAATTGCTTTTAAGACTCTGCTATAAGAAGTAAAATCAAGAATCAATGAATGGGATTGATTCAAACAAAAAAAGCTTCTTCTCAGCAAAGGAAACAATAATGTGATGAGAAAGCCCACAGAATGGGAAAAAATCTWTACCACACACACCTCAAAGCACTAACCTCCAGGATACATAAAGAACTCAAAAAACAAATAACTCAATCAATACATGGGCTAAGGAATTGAACAGACACTTCTCAGAAGATGATATACAATTAATCAACAAGCATATGAAAAATGTTTAGCAATTTTCATCTCTAACAATTAGAGAAACTCAAATCAAAACTACTCTAAGACTTCATTTCACTCCAGTCGGAATGGCAGCTATCAAGAATAAACAACAATAAGTGTTGGYGAGGATGTGGGGAAAAGGTATACTCATACATTGTTGGTGGGACTGCAAATTGGTGCAACCTCTATGGAAAGCAGTATGGAGATACCTCAGGAAACTTAGAATGGTGCCGGGTTTCTGTTCTCTC